ACTGCACAAAAGCACCCCCGAACTAATCCTCTTTGGAGCTGCCTACAGCTGGAGCGGTCTGGCAGAAGAGGAGTCCGACTCACAAACCCTCTGCCGCTCTCTGAGCCTTTGGGAGTCATTCCCTTATCTCAGGGGTCTGTAGGAGTTCCCCCCCCCGCCTCCCCCAGCACCTTTCATCCGCCACAAGAGCCCTGACAACTGTGAATATAAATTACTGATAGGGCAAACGCTAGGAAAGGTCCTAGGAAGGGCAGTAGGAGACAGAGGATTGTGCTTTGACAGAGGGTTGTTCAGTCTGGGGAAGAGGAGGCTGAGGAGAGACCTTATTGCTCTGTACAACTCCCTGAACGGAGGGTGTAGAGAGGTGGGGGTCGGTCTCTTCTCCCAAGCTACAGACGATAGGACAAGGGGTAATGGCTTCAAGTTGCGCCAGGGGAAGTTCAGGTTGGATATTAGGAGCCATTTCTTTACTGAAAGGGTTGTCAGGCATTGGAATGGACTGTCCAGGGAGGTGGTCGAGTCCCCGTCCCTGGAGGTATTTAAGGTATTTAAGAAACGTGTAGATATGGCTCTCTCGTGCCCAAGATTATTGGTTTGTGGTGGGATGTTGTGTGGGTGGGGGATGGTTTTGGTTTGGTTGTTGTTGTGTGCTTAGGTGGTGGGTGGGTTTTTTTTGTTTGTTTGTTTGGTTGGTTGGTTGGTTTTTTTTGTGGTTGGACTCGATGATCTCTGGGGTCCCTTCCAACCACTACGATTCTGTGATTCTGTGACGGCTTCTTCCTAATTTTGGGCAGAGAGCGGGAAGGCACATCTGTGTTTCTCAGAGCTGAGCGACAGCAAACAAAAGGTGTAAAGCGACGGTCGGAGCCGGGCTGTGGTCCTGTCGTGCGAGTGGACGTGACCCTCCTCCGTGTTCCCCCTGCAGCCACCCAGACACCCATAAATCTGCCACCCGGCGCAGCCAGACGATGTGCAGCCGGCCCCGGGCCCCTGCCCTCCTGGCTGCTTTCCTGCCTTTGTGCTCTGCTTCCTGAGCAGCCCCAGCCCGGGCTCGCACGGCTCCGGGGCCAGCCTGGAGCGTGGCCCCACAGGACAAGGCCACATTCATGCAGAGCTCCTGCAGGCCTGGGTCAGCAGGCTGCCTTCGTGTGACGAGCGGGGCTGGCGTCGCAAACAAAGCCCCTGGAAACACATGGGCTGGTTAATCCACGGGCTGGCCAGAAGCCTTCCATCAGACCCTGCCAGCCCTGCTGGGAATGCCCTGCCCGGAGCGGGCATCGTGCCATGTTTTGCTTGGCTTGGGATTTCTGGAGCACTGAAAACTTCCCCAGTCAGTGTTCTGATTACCCCGCAGGTGGTCTTTACTTTCTTTTTGGGGGTGGAGGTTTCCTTTTTCAGGGGTTCTTTGACTTAACAAGTCACCCAGCAGGTTGTTAGGGATGGGGAGGTGGTCACCAGGCAGTGGATAAACAAGGTGTGGGTCTGACCACCCTCCTCACCCACAAACCCCACACTGCATCAGCAGTCCTGATGGCAAGTGTGGTACCCGACATCATCCACTGGGCATCTTTAGTTTGGAGAAGAGGAGGCTGAGGGGAGATCTCATTGCCCTCTACAACTCCCTGAACGGAGGGTGTAGAGAGGTGGGGGTTGGCCTCTTCTCCCAAAGGAATAACGACAGGACCAGAGGAAATGGTCCGAAGTTGGGGCAGGGGAGGTTCAGATTAGATATTAGGAAGATATTTACTGAAAGAGTGGTCAGGCACTGGAAAGGCCTGCCCAGGGAGGTGGTGGAGTCCCCATCCCTGGAGGGATTTAAGAAATGTGTAGACATGGCTCTTCAGGGCATGATCTAGTGCCCGAGATTATTGGTTTGTGGTGGGGTGTTGTGTGTGGGGTTGTGGGTGTGGGGTTTAGTTGGTGGGTGATGTTTTGGGGGTTTTGTTTTGTTTTGTTTTTTTTTAATGTGGTTGGACTCGATGATCTCGGAGATCCCTTCCAACCACTAAAATTCTGTGATTCTGTGATGCAGATCCCAGCACTCAGACCAGGGTGGGGGCTGCTGTCTGCCAGCAGACGTTTCCCCAGCAGGAAGAGAGGCTGGATGTGCTGATCCGTCTCCGCACCCTGCCTTATTTATCTCTCTTTAGTTACAGGATTAGAGCTCTACTCCTCCCTCTTGTCTGTGAGCCAGTCCCTGCCTCGTCTCCGCCGCACGCAGCCATTTCAGGGCTCCGAGAGGAGAGAGATGTTTATTAAAACCTCCCTGCGAGCGGCATCGCTTGCCATAAATTGTGGAAGTAACTCAGCAAGACGACACTCCGGCCAAAACAGCCATTTCAAACGTGTCTCCAGGAAAGATGCCGGCAGTTTGTTGGCTTGAAAGGAAATATTAAGGCCAAAAAAAAAAAAA